ACGGCGGGTGTGGTGTGACCGGACGACAGGGGATACTTGCTCCTCTATGGCACCCAATACCACTGATGCTTCTAGAGGTCCGTGTTTGCTCTGCTCCCAATTTGTATTTTTTCAATGGACATCTGAGCTTGGTTAGTGTTCGTTATCTCCATATTTCATGCAAACATTCCAAAGTTATATGGACTCATTTTTTCTTCAAATCATGATCCTTCGAGTAAGGGCTAGGCTAAAATCGAGATTCAAATTTTGCATACTTTGTATACAGATGAAGAAATTAAAATCCTCTTTTCCAGAAAGGCAATGCTATATAGTAATTTACGTATTAAAACCTCCACATATTACTGGATTCAGGTTAGGTTAAGTCATGACTCCTTAGGACTAGAATCGGACCAAAAAAAAACAAAAAATTTTATTGAAATAAAGATGGAAAACAAGATGTGTTTGTGAAACACTGATGCCCCCGTATGGCAGCTTATGTCGAAGGTTAAAGTTTCTCAAATACAAGTCAAAATCCAGGCCAAAAGATAAAAAATGTTGATACTCAAAGATCTTGTCTCGAGGAAAACACCTGTGAAATTTGAAAGACCTAGATACAACTGTTCAAAAGGTATGGTGAAGGTTAAAGTTTTTTAAATAAAAGTCAAACGTCAAGGTCAAAGTGGTTGATATCCAAAGGAAGATCTTGTCACAAAGATTACATATGTGAAGTATGAAAGCCCTAGCACCAACCATTCAAAAGTTATGGCCAAGGTTAAAGTTTTTCAAAAGTAGGTCAAACTCCTAGGTCAAGATCAAAGGGTCAAAGTGGTTGGTATCCAAAGGAAGGTCTTGTCACAAGGATTACATACGTGAAGTATGAAAGCCCTAGCATCAACCATTCAAAAGTTATGGCCAAGGTTAAAGTTTTTCAAAAGTAGGTCAAACTCCAAGGTCAAAGTCGTTGGTATTCAAAGGAAGGTCTTGTCACAAGGATTACATATGTGAAGTATGAAAGCCCTAGCTCCAACCATTCAAAAGTTATGGCCAAGGTTAAAGTTTTTCAAAAGTAGGTCAAACTCCTAGGTCAAGGTCAAAAGGGTCAAAGTGGTTGATATCCAGAGGAAGGTCTTGTCACAAGGAATACACATGTGAAGTTTGAAACCCTAAGCACCAACTGTTCAAAAGTTATGGCCAAGGTTAAAGTTTTTCAAAAGTAGGTCAAAGGTCAAGGTCAAAAGGTCAAAGTTGTTGGTATCCAAAAGAAGGCCTTGTCACAAAGAATACACATGTGAAGATTGAAACCCCAAGCTCCAACTGTTCAGAAGTTATGGCCAAGGTTAACGTCTCATAAAATTTTGCAAAAGTGGGTCAAACTCCAAGGTCAAGGTCAAAAGGTCAAATACGATGGTACCCAAAGAAAGGGCTTGTCACAAGGAATACACATGTGAAATATGAAAGTCATAGCTCCAACCAATTAAAAGTTATGGGCAAGGTTAAAGTTGACAACAGACAGACAGACAAACAGACAAACAAACAGACAGACAGGACAAAAACAATATACCCCCGGGATCTTTCGATCCGGGGGCATAAAAATCTTTTGAAGAACGGCTAGAAGAACAGCAGGGCCAAGGCTACTCAGGTGAGCTTTGTGGCCAAATGATTACTTGACCACATTTTGAAGCATGACGTACACAGCACACGATTTTTTCTTGCCTGTAGAGAAAAGTCCTTCGAAATGAGTTTTGATTAAAATTAATAAACGTTGTATTAGTGATCCTCAAAAGTTTTATTTTGTTTCATTTAGTTTTTATTTGAGCAGTATATAATTAACTGAATATAACTGTAAATGAATTAGCAAAGCCGCGGATTGTTGAGAATGTATAACATTTCTCTAGATCCGGTATCATTATCTCGGCTGAGATTCGTTGGACTAATGCATTTGATGAAGTCATGTGTCGAATCTTATCAGAGATTACTCGACATCAATTTCAGAAAATTATTATTTCATAACGGATAATATTGCTTTAAGCAAATTGTGTGACTCACAGCTGTACATGTAAATGTAAGTAATTATTGCTTGAATTAAGCAACTGATTAATCCTTATGGCAAAGTGCTCTTAATTCTCTGTGCACTGTTGCTATTGTTAGAAAGAAAGAGAGATTTTATGCTAAAGTTTGATTTTTTTTTTTTACATGAAATTAATTTCCCTGTAAATAGTTTTTGCCTACATTTTGGGATTTGAAAGAGGTACATGTATAGCGCTCTTTCCCAGCATGTCGCCAACTATCAGGTTTAAATGGAAAATATTCATCATTATTATTAGATTTACTTGATGCATTGGGTATGATGAAATAAATATACTTAACTGCTGCTTCTATCTTCGTAAACTTTTGGTTTTAATTGTCTATAGATTCACGAAAAATACTTAAAACTATATGCAAGATATTTATTTCTTTTTTTTTGTTTATTATTCACAAACAACCTCTCTGCGTATTTGCATATATATATATATATATATATATATATATATATATATATATATATATATATATATTACTATAATTGAATCAAATGTTTTTTTCACAATTGTAATATTTTATTTGTTTTACATTTCACAGAATTATGTATCAAGATTTTTCCTTGACTGTTTTCAAGATTTTTGATATGAAAGATCTAGATCGCTGTTCTTTTCGGGAAATACTGCTGCATCTTAAGTAGGTCGTTAACGTATCTTTCCTCTTTATGCGTCTCCCCTTTCCAATATAATCGAGTCTAGGTAATGTTAAATTCAAATGTATATATACGCTATAGTACGCAGACAGTTTGAAACAATAATGTACATGTTTATTTCAATTGTGTATATTATGTGCAAAATACGATGATAAATAAAAATTGAATATCAAAGGAAAATTCAAAAACATAATTAAACATGTTCTTATAACTATGATTAATACAAAAAAAATATATCGAAAACTTAGGGGTTTGAACTGGAGACTGCAAACACGAAAACAGTTTATTGATAATTTCTGTGTCTTTTGTGTATGTAGTTTCGTGTTAGAGTCTTTTGGAAAATAGGATAACTGAAGTATAATTACAAACAATATTTAATATGAAGACCAATTTAGTTAAACAAAAAAGATTTTACTACACAGGGAAAAGTGGCTCGCATGATTTTCTTGCGTTTGCCTTTTCGCATGAAATTTATGCGAAAATCATACAAAAATCATGCGAAAAGTCCCACATGCGAATTTCATGCGAATGTTATCTCACAAATTTTATGCGAAATTCATGCGATTTTCATGCAACTAAAATTTCGCATGATATCCATGCGAATTCCACTTTGTCTGTTTTTTGTGTGAAAATCGTGCGATATTCACAAGAATATTATGCAATATTAATACCATATGAGGAAAAGCAATGAACAAAAAATTTAACATTTCAGTGTTTATTTAGATGCATCTATCACAGTGAGTGGTAAAAAATTGCCAGTCTCTGATGATCCTAATATCATATTGTTTGGATGCTCCTTATGAATCCATTTACATTAATGATGGCTGTGTTTAAAGGCAGTTTTTCAGTCTTTTTCAATCTTTTGTCCTCACAAGCATTTCCTACAAAGAAATTAAATCATAAAATTTTTTATTATATTACTACCCATACTGATATTCCAATTGTTTCAGTCAAAGGGGCTAACTCCTATAATTACTGAATAGGATCTGTCATTACATACAATAAATTCCATGTTATCACCTGAAAGGTCCATGTTTTGTCAACTTGTTTATGTTAAACTGCACTGGTATTACATGTTTTGAGCAAAACAGAAGACCCTGTGTTTTGTACATTAATAACTGCACAATAGAGGCATATGTCAGACATCAGAACATGTTATTGACCATGCAACTCTCTATATAAGTAGTGATTTCCCTAAGAACCAGCTACTGGCCAAATTACAAGTGTAATCGCTTCAATTGATAAAAATGCCGCTTTGAAATAAAAAAAATAAAATAAAATTTAATTGTTGTAAGGTCCACAGAGATTTGTCATAAACATCAACCCAAAGCCAGATACAATTGATCTCTAATGCTTTACTTTGAAATAAAGGGAAAACACTGTATAAGGTTGTTATTGGAACCTATTGTCCAAATTAGATATAATTGTCCATTTTAGTTATGATATTCCAATTGGATTTATGAGTTTTACAGACATTATAATGCTGAAAAGATGGATTTTTTTAATCTGCATAAAATAATTAGAATATATCAAATGCAACAGTTTAATTATTACAAGGATTTTTTTTATTCATAACCCTCACATTTGTGAGATTAATCCCCAAGAAAATTGGATCTTTTGTGGGACCTGCGTCCTATAATATTTTGTGTGATACACTGTAAAAGTCGTGTTTACAAGTCTCTGCACATGTGTCAGAACAATATACACAGTTAAAAATCACTTTTATTGTTAATTACTTACTCAAAATTTAGTAAAGCCTTCAAATAAATGTCGCTTAGCATAAAGAATGCATAACTTCATAATGACTTCGATGAAACGGAACCATTCGATTCACCTGGCCGTGTTACGTTGAACCTGAAACGAAAACGAGATCCGAATTTACTCTGAAAATTTTCGTTGCAAAATGAATAACAATAAGAATCTACATTTTAAACACAAAATATGACAAACAATTAACAGTACATACATATTCACCGTCGTTTCAGGGGATTAGAGCACATAAATCCCAAAGGAAACTCTGGAACAAGCCACAGGAGGGTACACTCGGTTTTTTTTTTTTTCTGTAACAGGAAGTGCAAGTAGAACCTGGCTAAATCGGCCAGTCAATTTCGTATTCATCACAGAATCAGGAAATATCTAAACACTGTAATTTTTGTCCTTTAAATCTTTATTTTGAACATTTATTTCCGCGTCGAAGTCGGAACTTTGATGACTACGGGGTATACACTTATTTTACGAAACCAAAAGTAGGTTTTTTTATGGAATGCCGTACGTCACATATTACGTCATGATGCGGCTGAGAAAGCAGACAAGAAAGAGCAGAGTAAATTCAACTGCATATTTTCTGTAAGTTTTATATATTTTTATCATCTCCTTTATCACCAGATGAATGTAATATAAATTTATTAGCAATATACATGTATGCTGACAGCTTAATAAATAGATATGTTGAAATAAGATGGACCTGGCACAGGCACTCTTTGCCTGTTGCACCTGGATCTGGTTTAAACCTCACCAAGCAATATACAGCACTGTAAAGTTATACATGTATATTAGGATATACCTAATTTTTTTTAATCAGACTGTAAGTCAATCATTTTGTTCCAAAAAATAGATACATAAAGGAAGGGTGGCCTGGAAAAAAGTGGGGTGGGTCTTTAATTTATCCTTCTCCTAGCTCCCATCCCTTCAACTCTACTATTTTGAATTTCCTTTATCTTCCTCTGTCTGAATCCAACCTTCCCTATTTCTTCCTTTCCAAACTCTCCTTTACACCTCACATTCACCCATCACCACCAATCAAAACTTTTATTTGTAAATGTACATGTATAATCACAAAGAGGTTACTCTCTCTCTCTATATAGAACCATGATATTTATATAATTACTACAATGTACTAATGACATGCACAGTGGGGGCACATCTGTTTAGATACATTGTAGTTCACGTTCACTAGTAAGTTTGCAAATAGTAAATGAGTTATGTCCCTTTGTGGGGTCTTTTTTTTTCTTCCTGTGTGGTACAATCCACTATAATCACTTAACCAAAAGGTCAAGACTTAAAGAGTGAAAAGAATAATGTTTTCTTTGATCTTTTTGCCACCAGGGCAGGCATTTGGGTGTGCTGTGATAAATTCAGTATTTTAAAAACACTAGGAGGTTAATTATAAATGGGGATAGATATAAAAATTGTTTATAATTCATTGAGTTTGAAGTTTGACGCTCTGTTTGCAATATTAATAAAAGCAGTAATGTAACATTGCTAATAAATCAATTGATTTCTGATTGAGCTAGAGATAAAAAGTATTTATTTAGGAGCACTAATGCCACTGTAAACATATCTATACATTTTAAATTGAAAATACAACAGAACTCAGTTCTCATAAAAAGAGGTAAATCTCAGTTGTTTTAGGAGTTAAACTTTTATGCATTCCAAAATACATGCAGATATATAAAGAAGCTTAGTTATAAGAAAGCAAGTCCGAGTAACTTCCCTGTAAATGAGTTGTACTGTATATTCTATTTTGTGTTTACTAATGACATGTTTGAGAAATATTTACTAAAATGTTGTATTCTTAACTTGCAGGTATTTGCTAGAAAATGAGCAGATGGTCCCCCACTATACCACACTGATAGCTTCTCAAAGATTATACATATATGTTACATGCAAACAGGTAAAAAAAAATCTAGAATGAAATATTTATTGCAAAGGTATACATCAATATATATAAATAATGTTGTTATTTATGATCAAGTGGCTGACATACTTTTCCCCCCATCTTATTTTTGCAACCTGTCTGCTTTTCTGCTACTACTCCATGCTGCTTTTCCATGATTGGTTTTAAGCTCACCTGAGCCAAAGGCTCAAGGGAGCTTCTCTGATCAAAATTTGTCCGTCGTCTGTTGTTGTTGTCATAAACTTTTCACATTTTCATCTTCTTCTCCACCACCGGGCCAATTTCAACCAAACTTAATACAGAGTATCCTTTATGGTAAAGGGGTTTCAAATTTGTTCAAATGAAGGGCCATACCCTCTTTCCAAGGGGAGATAAGTAAGAAATAGTAAAAATTGGGTGTGGATATTTAAAAATCTTCTTCTCAAGAACCACTGGGTCAGAAAGATGAAACTTATGTGAAAGCTTTCTGACATAATGTTGATTCAAGTTTGTTCAAATCATGACCCCTTGGGATATGGTGGGGCCACAGTGGGTGATCAAAGTTTTACATAGGAAAACATGAAAAATCTTTAAAATTTCTTCTTTTCAGGAACAGTAAAGCCATGATTGGTGATTTTTATGAAGAAGCATCCTTAAGTAGTGTAGATTTAAGTTTGTTCAAACCATGACCCCGGGGCTAGGGTGGGATCACAATGAGTGAACAAATTTTTACATAGAAAAAATATATAGAAAAAATCTTTAAAAATCTCCTTCTCAAGAACAGCAAAGCCATGATTGGTCATATTTATGTGAAAGCATTGTCAGGTAGTATAGATTAAAGTTTGTTCAATTCATTACCCCTGGGGGTTGGGAGGGCCTAAATGGGTGATCAAATTTTTATGTTAGGCATACATGTGAAAAATCTTCTTCTCAAGAACAGTTAAGCAGTGATTAGACATATTTATATGGAAGCATCCTTGATAGTTTACATTCAAGGTTGTTCAAATCATGTCCCCTTAGGGGTAGGGAGGGGCCATAATTGGTGATCAAAGTTTAAAATGAGAATACATAGGAGAAATCATTAAAAATCTTCTTCCAAAGAATTGCAATTCCATGATTAGCCATATAAATTCAGAAGCATCCTCAGGTAAGGTTAGGTATATTCAAATTTGTTCAAACCATGTCCCCTGGGGGTAGGGTGGGGTCATAATAGAAGATCAAACATAGAAAAGCAAAAATATAATTGCAGAAAACAGGATAAGGCTGCAGAAAAGCAGGATTTTTTTTCCTGTGAATTATTTGAATCAGACTAGCAGAACCATAAGCATTCAGGTTATTTCTGCTTATCTAATTCTTAAATATATTCTGCTAATTTATAGAATAAATGTATAAAAATGCAGTGGTACTAAGGAGATAATTAACCAAATGCTACTGAATTGACAGTATCGGACATTTTTTAATTTTCACTGTAGGCACAGTTAGCATGTCATCACAGCTTCAAATACCAGAGTACCTATATCCTCAGAAGATACATGCAAACAGATTTGTCAATGGTACATGTAAGTAAATACATGTATGATTTTTTTTTGACAATTTAAATTTGACATTAAGCTGAACATATTTAATTTAATTATTCCATCTAAGCCAGAAGCTTTAGTAAGCTTTTTACTGTCAAAACTTGTCTGTCTGTTGTTGTAAATTTTGCACTTTCCAGACGTACGTATTACATTCTCTAGAATCACACATAAATGCCAATTTTAACCATTGCAAACTTGGCCAGTTTACTGTTAGCACAGCTCATGTTTTGTTTAAGTCTCAGATTAAGGAAATTCAAGTTTTAACAGAAATGTACAGACTAACCATTTTCCAATGGGAGAGCATTTAGGGATTACGAAAACAGTGATGTGGGTGTAGTAAAACATTGAATTATCTCAAAAGTCAAGATCACTGGGCCATATATTATTGGTAAAAGCTAAAACTTTTTTGCCCCTACAATGACGTTATATACTAGCTCCTACAAAGAAAATGTAAGGGTGTCCTGGAATCACCATGTCTGTTTGTCTGTCTGTAGACATGTTTTGTCTGGAAATTATCTTTTAAACCACTTTATAATAATGCCCTGGTAATCGAAGAGTCGTGGGTATATAAGGTTTTGCCCTGTCCGTCCACATTTCACATGTGTATTTATAGACTAGACCTTCCTTTTGGTACCAACATATTTGACCTTGACCTTGGAGTTTGACCCACTTTTGTAAAAATTTACCCAACTTTAACCGCCATAACTTTTGAACAGTTGGTGCTAGGGCTTTCAGATTTCACATGTGTATTTATCCTGACAAGACCTTTCCTTGGGTGTAAATATTTTTGACTTTTTGACCTTGACCTTAGAGTTTGACCCACTTTTAAAAAACTTTAACCTTGGCCATAACTTTTGACCCACTTTTAAAAAACTTAACCTTGGCCGTAACTTTTGAATAGTTAGTACTAGGGCTTTCAAATTTCACAGGTGTATTCCTTGTGACAAGACCTTCCTTTAGATATCAACAATTTTGATCTTGCCCTTTGAGTTTGACCTACTTTTGAAAAACTTTAACCTTGACCATAACTTTTGAACTGTTGGTGCTAGGGCTTTTATATTCTGCATGTATATTTCTTATGACAAGGTCTTCCCCCTGAATACCATTAATTTTGACCCTTTGACCTTGACCTTGGAGTTTGGCCCACTTTTAGAAAACATTAACCTTGACCATAACTTTTGAATGGTTGGTGCTTGGGCATTTTTGATCTCTCGAATTTGCAGTTTGACTTGCATTTGAGAAAGTTTAACCTTCTCCATAAGCTGCCATACATGGGCATCAGTGTTTCACAAACACATCTTGTTTTTTTTACCTACACTTTGTAATTATATATGAACTAACTGGTAACAGGAATTTACAGACTGATTTGTCAAACTTTTAAAAAGAGGAATAAGAGAATTAAATTCTTATTTGAACATGACTTTGTAACCAAGAAAACAATCTTAGGTTCATAACTGATAGAAAGGTAGCTTGTGTCCAGAGATGAGTCTTGACCCAGTACCAAGGGCATTTTAGATATGTTCAAGGTCAAAAGGGTACAAATGTAGTAAATTATTTTCATTCACAACTAGTGATGGGCCGATTGTCGCCGACGATCGATTGTCGGTCGTTAGGAGCTCTTCGATGCTACTAATCGATTACAAAATAAATGTCGCCGACATCGCTGACAAAAAATAATATTGTAATACTTTAATTTTATTACCAAATCCACGTGCAAAGAGTTTTAAAGTAGTGAGGTATCCTTGCCATGTTGATATTTACCGCCATGATTGATTATAGGGTCAGACTAATAACAGAAAAACGGACAATATTAAGAGGTTTACTACCGTATACATAGGAAAATATTAATAGTACAGACGATCTGTAAACGTTACTAAAATCAGGAATACAGGTCCAAATTCTGGATAACTACTTTTTAAACTTGTAATTCCAAGAAATAAATAAATGTAATGCAAGGTGGGACTAATATCAGTAATATTCCCCCATTCAATATTTTTAATGAGAATTTTTTGTAAAATAAATTCCCATTCAATATATTTTTTTTTAAAGTAAAGAAATCTTTTTTACCACTTCAATAAAGGAAAAAATGAATAAACATATATGAATATAATTAATTAAATGATTTTTGGGGGGGGGGGGGGAAATCTGAACTTAAATCTGAATAAGTTTAACTTTTTTATATTTATTTCATTTAAGATAAAGATTCGATTATAATCGATTATTAATCGATTATATGCAGCCGATTATTACCGATAATCGATTATGATTTTTTCCGATTTCCCATCACTATTCACAACTCTATAATGGAAACACAGTAGACATACCTGAAACAAAACTCGCCTGTGACTCAAAGGTATATCCCAAGACTAACATAGGGTAATTTGAACTAGATATGTTTTCAAGGTTGCTTAATTATGACTAGAGGCAGTGAAACAACCCTGTCTGTTGGGCATTTTAGCAATGTAGAGGTAACAGGAATTGAAGTTTAAATTCTTGGCCATAACATAATTGTATATTGAAAAAAGTAACTTTCAAAGATCATACTGCCCTAATGGTTGATAATGATCATAAGATATGCCATTTCCAGAATAGAGGTCATAAGACAAGGTCAAGGTCATGATAGAAGTATCTCAGAAAATGCAACTTTTTATTGGAGTAGTATCTGGAGAACATACTTGGCATACAGGTGATTATGACCAAGAGGTATTAATCCTACTTAAGGGCCTAGGGTAGTCAGTTAATTTTAAAAAAAATATTCTCCATTATGAATTTCAATAACCTGAGATTGTTTACTTTTGTATTTTCAGCTATAACGACAACACACTCTCAACAGAATCCTCAAGATAAAGAAATCTTATGTGATGAGAACCTCAATAAAGAAGATAGAAAAAGATCAATTGTTTTAGTTTTCAATGTAGAAATTGATGTTACAGATGTCTTTATTTAGTGAGGGAGTCCAGAAAACAAGTTTTGATTCTTTCAAATTCAAAGTTACTTTTTGTATAATCATGCATTACTTGTGTCTGGATTAACTGACTAAGTAAGAAAAAGATAATTTTTCAAGAAAACTTCATTTGCAAGAAGCAAAAATTCTGTTTCCAAGGAAGAAGGATAGGTTTGGTGCACTCATAGATAATAGCTTGATATTAATATCTGGGGTACAAAAAATATGCTTCTCTTCGCATGATATTCATATGAAACCTGGGTTCTTTTTTTCACATGAATTTCGTGCGATTTTCTTTTTGCATGATATTCGTGTGAATTTCATGTGAAAATTGCATGATATTTTCGTGCGAATATCATGCGTGGTCCTTTTCGTCTCCTTCTCATGCAAAGAATTCGCATGATATTCGTGCGAATTTTATATGAAGTTCATGTGAGCCACTTTTCCCTGTGTTCAGCAATATACTTCAACATCTTAAGAATATAACCCATACACTACACAAGATTTATCTAATTAAAGTTGGTTCAAATAGAACAATCTGCATATTTTAATGCTCACTTAATAGATCTTCATATATTCCATGCAAAATATGTAAATGTCATTGATCTTGTCTGAGATAATTATGACTATTTTTGCCAGGTACTTGTATAATTTATATTTGTTTATATCTAGAATTACTTTATATCATAAAATATTGAAATAATTTTGATGTTTGTCAATGCGCTATATTGTACATGTAAGCCAATTCGTATTCCAAGTACGCATTGCCTCTTACCAAGATGATTGCCGTGGCCATGGAAACAAATGGTTCATTTCTGAAAGTTTAATTGTGGCAGAATTATATATATATATATATATATATATATATATATATATATATATATATATATATATATATGCTTTCTTTGCTTTTATTCAAAATATAATTAACCTTTGAGCATTTCAATGAAAACAGAGTAAAGTTAGGAATAACAAAAGCTATTGTTTGTAATATTTAATGCTCATTATACTAAAATTTTCTCCAAAAAGTATACAGTTAACATTAGTTCAAAGTGCACTGCGAACAATGCTGCATGAATGTTTTAATCATGATTGAATCGTATTTGCATAGTAAACCGTGAACATATTAAAGGGTTATAAACAAATTAATGCGTATACTATGAAATCATCAATCTAGTGCCCCGTGCGGATAATTAAGTCAAAATAATGATCGCAGTTTCATAATGTTAACTATGAGCTGAAAAAAAACCTGAAATATACGTGAATAAAAGAAATCCGTCTGTCACCAACACTGAAACTTTCCTGACTAATTTAATTAAAATTTGAAAATTGAATGCATGCTGAAAACAACGAATTTTGCACGATTTTTGTGATACAATTAAATGTAAGAGATTATTTTATCGTGTTAACAGATGTCTTATTTCTATTTATGTAGGTCGTATTTATGATCGACAAACATGTTTATGAATTCTATAAAGTGGAATTATGGTAGTGGTAAGAAAATTATCGGAAATGACAATAACGAGCTCATGTTTCAGTCAAGTATCAGAGTCTGTATTTTCTTTCTCAGTTTACATCTGTTTTTCTTAATTTTCTTAATTTTTTTTTTGTTTTGGAAAGAAAATGCATTTTCCTGATATTTTCCAAGAAGAGAAATTTAGCTTAAAAAATATCTCCATTAATAATTACTACTGGCCAAAAAGTAAGTATATATGAAGTCCTTAATATATGGAATTAAAAATCTAACATGTATTACAAATATTACAAGAAACCAACCAGAGTGTAGATGAATTTATTTAAAATACTGAGTAACACATACAACTTCCAGCTCTGAACTGAATTAACAACTTCTTTCCACAAGATCTTATATTAAATATTCCTAAATCATAGTTGCAAGACATTGGCATGTGTTGAAATTACCATCCATTACAGCAATTTACGTAGAAGATAACCCTTTGATCCGCTTCCACCGTAGCTACCAAAAGGAGCAGATCAATTTAAAGGGGACCGACCCTCTGATAAGAGAGATAACTTTCCAAGTAAAAAATACGAATATTACTCATAGTTTGGTTCATCAGAATTTAATTATCGAGACCTTGGAGAAGTCAATTCGATCAAACCTTATATATGATGGAAACATTTACCTTCTAAATGTATTTCCTTTGCCTATACTTTTCAAATTGTTTTATTATACTTGGTAAAAACAGTTAAATCCAGTTTTAAAATCCTTTCAAATTAAATAAGTTTTATCTTTTTCAGGACCATTTTAAAAACGGTTTAGTGTAACAAGTACCAAATGTAACTTTTTTTTAGTATTACATTTTTTTCCCAATGAAAAAATATTTATAAGATAACTCTTCCTAATATATGTTTTCTTTTCTTACAACCACATATAACATTGTGATATTCTCATCCTATTTTTCATTTGAATCTGAAACTTTAGCTCTTGATGAAAATCAATGTTGAAAAGTTTTAAAAAAATTGTAAAATTTAGAGCAGAAGGTCATTAGTCCTTAAAGAATCCAACTTCAATTAGATTGCTTTTTCAACAACTTTTGAAAACAATAATAATTTAATTAAGGTCAAGATCTAGTAAATGAAGAGTGCCTACAGATTTCTCAAATTTGAGAAACGAATTCCTTTAATAATCTTTTACAATTATAGCTTAATAAATTAAGGTGTATCGGAACATATTTTTTAGATAAACTCAATGGAAAAACATATTTTAAACTGCCCTTTTCAATGAAAAATGAAGAAAATCAGATGTAAAAATAAGAGTTTTCTCCATCTCAGACATAGGAAATGTATCTATATTGCCTACAGACTCTCAGAAAACGATTATTCATATCTTCTTGACCTCTACTTTAAAGTAATATTAAACTGAATATAGGTATCGGGGTTCCTTTTTACATGGTTTCAAACTGAATTCCATGAAATGCGTCATTTTCTACATAATTCTGTTATAGCTGTAAAGTACGGGAAAAAATTAAGTTTAAATCAATTATGACGTCATAATGGATATCGAACCAAAAACACAGTCAAACTCATTTACTAGATCTTGACCTTAACATCGTGTATTTTGAGGCAATTTTGTTGAAATTGACCCAGCATTTCTTAAAAAGGTGATACTGTAAAAAAAATATATTACGACGAAGGCAACAACAACGACAGACACGGTCAAAATTTTGATCCAAGAAGCTCACTTGAGCCCCTTTGGCCCAGGTGAGCTAAATAAAAGTGAGAAGGATAGTCCTTGGCACTTAAACTACATAATACTCGATGCGAATTTACATAGGCAGCCAGAATACATATGGGTTAGGGGTACGGTTCGCAACTATTTTAACAAGAGGACGAAGGGCTTTAACGGTCACCATAGCATAATGTAATACCGTTAAGGACCAATATATTGAATATAAAATAAATTTAAAACAAAATAAGCTGATAGATGAAGCTATGTTGAACAAAAGCAAGAGAAATAGGAAGCTCGGAGACCAGCAACATAATTTATTAAGTGCTCAGTAACAATTATTTAAGATGATCCATTTACTTGCCCCCCATTTGTCACTATCCTCGTGAAATATCGCAGAATATTTACATTACACATGTATTCTGCTAATAAAGTGTGTGGAAAGCTACAACATTCAAAACACCATAACACGGACAGGGGGTCAAAAGGTTAAGGTATACGTTTTATGACGTCACAAACGCTGAACGCCGTGGAATTGCAACGTCATAAGCGAAAAATCAAAAATGAACAGAAGCTGTTGCAATGGCTCTTCCATCAATTGTAACTTACCCGAAGGATAATACAGGGATTTTGAAATATAAATCACATTTGCAATCAAGGCAAGGAGTTAAACAAAATATGTTTGTGAAACACTGATGCCCCCGTATGGCAGCTTATGGCGAAGGTTAAAGTTTCTCAAATGCAAGTCAAAATCCAGGCCAAAAGATAAAAATGTTGATACCCTAAGAAATGTCTTGTCTCGAGAAGTATACCTGTGAAATCTGAAAGCCCTAGCTGCAACTGTTCAAAAGTTGTGGCGAAGGTTAAAGTTTTTTAAAAGTAAGTAAAACCTCAAGGTCTAAGTCAGAGATGTTGGTATCCAAAGGAAGGTCTTGTCACAAGGATTACATATGTGAAGTATGAAAGCCCTAGCACTAACCATGTAAAAGTTATGGCAAAGGTTATTTTTTTTTGGAGAGTAGGCCAAACTCTTATGTCAACGTCAAAGTGGTTGGTATCCAAAGGAAGGTCTTGTCACAAGAATTACATATGTAAAGTATGAAAGCCCTAGCTCCAACGGTTCAAAAGTTATGGCCAAGGTTAAAGTTTTTCAAAAGTAGGTCAAACTCCTAGGTCAAGGTCAAAGAGGTTGATATTCAGAGGAAGGTCTTGTCACAAAGAATACACATATGAAGTTTGAAACCCCAAGCACCAACTGTTCAAAAGTTATGGCCAAGGTTAAAGTTTTCAAAAGTAGGTAGAACTCCAAGGTTGGTATCCAAAGGAAGGCCTTGTTACAAAGAATACACATGTGACGTTTGAAACCCCAACCACCAACAGTTCAGAAGTTATGGCCAAGGTTAAAGTCTCATAAAATTTTGCAAAAGTTGGTCAAACTCCAAGGTCAAAAGGCCATATATGATGGTATCCAAAAAAAGGTCTTGTCACAAGGAATACACATGTGAAATATGAAAGTCATAGCTCCAACCAATCAAAAGTTATGGGCAAGGTTAAAGTTGACAACAGACAAACAGACAGACAGGACAAAAACAATATACCCCCGGGATCTTTCGATCTAGGGGCATGAAAATGTAAATATAATCACCGAATCATTATTTTTTGAAAGATATAGTCTCATGACTGGAAAGG